CCCCCCCCCCCCTTCCTCTCTCTTTTGGTGGACTAAGTCTTTGGGGAGATTTCCTTTCACTTACTGTCCTGAAGACACAACAGAACCTGAACAATCTCCTAAGGTGAGGGGTATTGCCCTCTTAGGGCTCATGCACATTGATGTAAATGGCCGTACAGCGCACAGTATGGCCGTATTTTCCTCCGCCAAGCGTGACAAGGGCAGCATACAGTGTATGGCAGGCAGCGGCTGCACACATATATATACGCCTATCTGAGCGGCTACATGTGCCCCCCCTCCGAAAGCAGACAGTCAGCATTTGGTTAGGCCCCTACATCACTATGTGCATGTAACAGCTCAGAATCATGTATGAAAATCCACCTCTTTTTTTTTTGTTTGTTTGTTGACCTTTATTTTTTATTATTCACCTTGTGACTCTTTCCCCGTCCTCCATTGTCACCTAGGGAAGAATGACGTCCTTTCCTTCTGGGGCATGCACGGCACATATCCGGGATGCATCGGCTTCCATACAGTGATCAGAGGTGGAAGTTGGGCCTTGCAGCACAGACTGCTCCCAATGAGGTCAGGGAAGAAGAAGATGGCAGAGCGGCACTCGGTGTGTGGCAGCACAATGCAGGACAACTCTGGATTCACTGGGTGGGTGAGTATGTGAATTGGGGTAGACACAGGTCTGAGTATCATAGAAGCGTATTTACTAAGAGTCCAATGATCGGTTTGATGAGCATTTGCTATCAGGTCGTTCACAGCAGATTCGTCACCAACACATTCGCCAGATGGAGACCCATCGCCACACAGTTAGACCTCATGCACATGGCCATTAAAAAAAAAAAAAATCTTAGTTGGGGAAGTATATGAACATGCAGATCCATAAAAAATTTTCCCTCAGATCCGTAAAAAGCAGATTCGTCGCCAACACATTTGCCAGATCAACACCCATCGCCTCATACACACAGCCATTAAAAAAAAACAATGCAAAGTGTTTTTTGTTTACAGAACTGAACGCAGGTGTATTATCTTCATTGGGGATGTTCACAAAGCCATGTAGACATGCGCCACGTTCAGAACCGTAACGCAAAATCAACAGATCTCCAATATTGTTCACATTGTTTGCCTGATGAAGGGACCCTGTGTAGCCCCAAAATGTCTTTTTCTTTGTGACACTATGAACAAGCGTCAATAAAGTTGTAGTGATTAGGAGATTGGGTTGCCAGTGACTTATATTATCTTTGGTATATGTGCGGTGCCATCCGCTTGTAACTGCAGCACCAGCCACCGACTATTACAGGTGCAATAACAAAGCCAGTCATTGACGCGCGTACGCATATACGCACACACGTACCAGCTTTAATGCAATGGCATGGAAGCAGAAATTTAAGTTCATGCATTTTGTTTTTACGCAGGAAACATCCGCCAGCACTCTCCTGTATAGATGATCCGTATTTCATTACGCTGTATGCATGAGCCCTATTGCGGCAAATGTTACGTCCTCTGGGCCCGAGCTGTCTTTTGATGTTCCTCGTTTGGAGGTAGCCAATCATTGATGTTATGGGCCATTCACGTTGGATTTGCCACCTTCTCAAGCCAAATTCTCCACACCTTCGCTAAGGGGAGGGGCATGGAACCTACACAATTCATGGGGCATGGGGGCTCCCATGGCAAGCTGCAGCAGGCTTTGACATGCCAATGGTAACGGTAGTTGTGCTCACACAATTCACTGATGGTTGTTGCAATGGTTGGAAAAGGCTCAAATGCATTTAAAAAAAAAAAAATTTCTTTTTTTTTTTTTTGCATTATAGGTGTACTTGTGATAGGCGTCCGCCCACCTGTAAAGACTATACAACACACCACTCCACATACACACTGATACACTTAAAATGTAATAAATACTGACCTGGGGTGTGCCATGGTCCGTGTGGACAGTAATGCCAATAAGGGGGCATACTCTGAAGTATTAATGAAGATATGAACCTAAAGGGAAGGGCGGGAGGGTTCTGCCGAACACCGTACGTGCCTGTTGCCGTGGGCCTGCCCTCTTTTAAGGGCTGCGGGTGCGCAAACCCCTCCCACAAATACAGGCTCATACATTATTGACTTTGTGCAAAAAGTGGAATATGTCTTTAATTCATCTAGTGAGGCTCAGTGCCCACTCAGTAAATTCTTGTACATGACAGTATACTTCCTTTCTAAATGAGGCTCCAATAATGTAGGGCAAGTCTTTTCATGTTCTGAGAACCATCATCAGAGGTTGTACACGGCCGAATCATGTGACATCCCAGATTCACTGTGAAAAGCCTGCTGGATGCATTACAAGTGATTCTAT